GGTCCTACTTTAGGGATAAATCTAAAGGTGAGTTTGGAGCCAGAAAGTTTACTTGGCGTTGGGGGTCTAAGGTGGGAAGGAGGTTTTAGGGGGGTCTTAGGGGGGCTGGGGTAGTTGGAGGAGGATCAGGTGCAGAGCAGAGACGCAGGAAAGCCACCGTTTTGGATGGGTGGGTAGGTCTGGTTCTTAGAATAGCTTCGTCCCTGAGGTTAACGTGGCTCGCGGTGCCTTTTTCAGCTACTGCGAGGAGATCCCCGTCGAAGAGAATGAAGTGAATGACAGCTCGTCCAAAAGCAGCATAGAGACGAAGCCAGATGCCAGTCCACAGCTGCCCAAGAAGTCCGTCACCAACAGCACGCTGACGTCCACCGCGAGCAGCGAAGCCCCTGTCTCGGTATGGTGAGCCCGCTGCTCCCCGTCCAGGGCCCGCGGTCCTCGCCGCGCTAGTGCAGGGGCAGGGGTTGCACTGCAGCCAGCCATGCAAGGAGGCCCCCTGGAGAGACGGGCTTGCTCCACGGTGACGGGGTGGCCGGCACTAGTGCTGGGTTCTCGGTGTCTCAGGCAGTAATTTTGTTTGGCTTCTGAGCAGATGAAAATCATCCAGGTTCACCGGGTGCACTTCGCTCTCCGTGGACGCCTGGCTCAGCCCCTCTGGGGGAGAGCTGTGCCAGTCTTGCTTTCACTGCCTTGATCTGAAGGCGAAGTTGTATGTGAATATAAGACTACTAGAGGCCCAGTGCACGAAATTTGTGCACGGGTATGGGGGGAGTCCCCTCAGCCCAGCCTGCACCCTCTCCAATCCAGGACCCTTCGGGGGATGTCCGACTGCCCTCTCACTATCCTGGACCACTGGCTCCTAATTGCTCACCTTCCTGGTTGCCCCTAACTGCCCCCCCTTGCTGGCCTGATCGCCCCAACTGCCCCCTGCTGATGGCCAGGTTGCCCCTAACTGTCCCCCCCCCGCCGGCCCCCCCCTTCTGGCCCAGTTGCCCCTCACTGCCCCCCTGCCAGCCTAATCGCCCCCAACTGCCCCCCCTACCAGCCTGGTTGCCCCTCACAGCCCGCCCCCACCGGCCTGGTCACCCCACACAGCCTGCTGGTCAGTCGTTTTGTCATCCCTCACTAACCCCCTTGCTGGCCTGGTCACCCCACACAGCTGGCTGTTCAGTCGTTTGGTTGTCCCTCACTAACCCCCCTGCCGGCCTGGTCGTAGACAGTCATCTTGTGAGGACGTGAGGGTTAATTTGCATATTATCTCTTTATTATATAGGACTAGAGGCCCAGTGCACAAAAATTTGTGCACTCAGGGGGGAAGGGGGGTCCCTCAGCCCGGCCTGTGCCCTCTCACAGTCTGGGACCCCTCGGGAGATAACGACCTGCCGGCTTAGGCCTGCTCCCGGGTGGCAGAGGGCAGGCCCAATCCCTAGGTGCAGCCCCTGGTCAGGCTCAGAGCAGGGCCGATTGGGGAGTTGGGGCGCCGCCCTGTCATGCACAGAGCAGGGCGGAT